CTACGACGACGAGGCCCCCGTGGTGGTGAAGCCGACGCGGAGGGCCCGGCGAAAATGGGAGGAGCTGTTACTGTCCCCTGTCACCTCGCCGCCCCGGCCGTACTTCAACCCACGCTCCGAATTTGAGGAGATGACCATCCTTTACGACATCTGGAATGAGGGGATAGACGAGGAGGACATGAGGCTTCTGCAGATTACCTATGACAAGATGCTGCAGCAGGATAACGGCAACGACTGGCTCAACGACACGCTTTGGGTCAACCATCCTGATATCCTTTACTGCTAAAGTTAATAATTGTGTTCAGGGAACTTAAATAACACTGTTTTGTACTGTGTGTAACAAAAAGCAGCCCCCCCTGGTGGTGAAAAGATGGAAGTTTTCGGCTGGTATTGCTTTTAATCTGCTGAAGTCTGGTTGCATTCTAGCTATGGTTTAAAGTGTTTCCAGTTTCTTCCTTGACTTCCCTGCACCAACCAACATCCTGGGCGTGAAGAAAAGAGAAGAGACGACGGCATGAGGGATCACATGACCGGATGTGCGAGAAGCGAGGGATACTACAAGATCGACAAGAAGGACAAGATCAAATACCTCCAGAGCACGAAGCTGCAGTCGGAGGAGCCGCCGATGGACACACAGGTGGGGAAAAAAAAATGTTTCCTGGTTATTTCAAACTGCATATTTGGACAAACAAATCTAATTCCCTGTCCTCCCTCTAGGGTATGAGTATTCCTGCACAGGTGCACGCCTCTACCAGATCTGGTTCAGAGCGGCGGTCGGAGCAGAGGCGGTTGCTCTCCTCGTTTGCGTGTGACAGTGACCTGCTGAAGTTCAACCAGCTGAAGGTAAACACCGACAAACAGAATTTTGCTCCAGCAGCTGAAACGTAGAAAAGAATTGTGAACAGGGGCATAAGACATTCACACAGACACAGATGTCATCGACATAACTTTAATCCTGAAAGCCAGACCCAGGCGGCTTGTCTGTTACTAAAAGTGACACCTTGCTCCACTTTTTTCCTCTTAGTTCCGAAAGAAAAGGATCAGATTCTGCAGGTCGCACATCCACGACTGGGGTCTGTTTGCCATGGAGCCTATCGCTGCGGATGAAATGGTCATCGAGTATGTGGGGCAGAACATCAGACAGGTGAGATGCAGCTGATTGGTTGGTTTGAAGTGGGTTTTTTTCTCTGGGTATGTACAATGTTTCATCATTATTATTTTCTAACATTATTTTTATTGATTTTCAAATACAAAACAATAACAGCTCAGTGCACTTCAGCAAAGTATTTGCATAGTTGGTCCAGTAGTCACATTCAGCATCTACCGGTATAGTATACATGTGATTAACAGTGATGTTGTACAATAGCAAGATAATCATTCAGGGATCATTATGATAAGTTGCACTTAACATTTAGAAGATTCAAAGGCTTCTCCCCTTTTTCTTTTAAAGAGATGAGTCTTTCCACCAATACAGTATCTTAACCTTTCTAACGTCACAACATCAGATATCAGAGAGTTCCACAAGTGAACAGTAAGGGATTCATCCCCAACCCATTGTGTCATTATAGCCTTCCTAGCCAACATTAAAAGAAATTGGATTATGTCCTTATGTTCCTTTAAAGGGCTCGGTAGACTTCCTAGGAGGCATAGAAGTGGGCCAGGAGGCAGTTGTTGTCCTATCATCGTGCCTATTTCTCCACATAGTGCCTTCCAAAATAATTGCATTTTTTCACACTCCCAAAGACAATGCATTCTAGTTCCAGTATTAGCTTTGCATTTGGAACATATTTGGGAAGCTCCTGTTGTGAGCTTACTATAAACATATGGAGATATAAAAACATTATGTATTGTACTGCATCTCCTTATATCTGTTACAGATTGAAATCTTGGAGGGTAACATCAGAATTGTTTCATCATTTTTTTTTAAACTGAATGAATCTGTTTTATCATTATATTTTATTTACACTTCAGAAAATTTAGAAAAATCATTTTTGAAACCAATTTATAGACATTTTTAGACTTCTGAATATACAGTAGCATTTTTCAGACTGCAGGAACTTCTTGATTGCTCTACAACTGTTGGAACCCTGCACCTTTTAATTGATTCCGCTCTGCAGCAGAACCTTATCTGCTCCTGCTTCAGAGTCCCCATGGTGTGTAGTATTCAGGGAACTCTCTAGTGGATAGTTCCTCTAACTTACGATATTCAAAAAGTGTAATCTCAGTTTTTTTTTTTAGTACAGAACACAACTTAGAATAAAATGCTGAAGTGCTCCAGCAAACCCTGGATCAAAAATAACTTCTACCTACATAACCCAAAGGTGGAAACAAGCGTGATTTTATAACAGTCAAAGTTCAGCATGTAAATAATTCACTAAATCATTGAAACAAAAATGTTACAAAGTTACCTTTATACGGGACTCTTTACAGCCTCTTCTTTATTGAACACACTATCTCGGATGTAAACAGTTAGTCAGATTTGTCATTAAAGCAGGACTGCAGCCGAGCATGTTGGCTCATCGTGTTTAAAAGTACCAGAGCTACTGAAGCGATCAAGCACCACACATAGAGGCAATGACTGTAGAGAGCAAGTGGATAGTCTACGTCCAAAATGGTTTCATTTCAAAGCTCACAAACTTGTAACCTTTGACTATTCTTCCCTTCACAAGGTGATTGCGGACATGCGGGAGAAGCGCTACGAGGAGGAGGGCATCGGCAGCAGCTACATGTTCCGCGTGGACCACGACACCATCATAGACGCTACCAAGTGTGGCAACTTTGCCCGTTTCATCAACCACAGCTGCAATGTAAGATAACATCCACGTCATCCACGTTTAGTTTGTCTACGCATCAGTGCTGCACATTTCTCACTTGTTTGTCTTTTCTTTACAGCCTAACTGTTATGCGAAGGTGATCACGGTGGAGTCTCAAAAGAAGATCGTGATCTACTCCAGACAGCCGATTAACGTCAACGAGGAGATCACATACGACTACAAGTTCCCCATCGAGGACGAGAAGATCCCCTGTTTGTGCGGGGCGGAGAACTGCAGGGGAACGCTCAATTAACGTCCATTTGAGGTGGATCCCCTCCTGCATGTGAAAGTGCTATCCTTGAACTGAAGTTTCACAGAGGAGACTTCAGGTGAGGGGAAAGTGAAGGGGAAATATCCTTGCTTCCCGTAAGGTGCTCTTCACATATTAAAATCTAGATTGTTTACGATTTATGGTGCTCTTGAAATCAAAAAAAAACAACAGCATAGTTTTTTACCTCTGCCAGTGATTACCCAGAATTACGAAAACACTTGACTTGCTGGTACAGCATCCCCCTCCCCTTCTCCTGTCAACACAGGACAGTATTTGAGCATGGTTTCTTCCACATCCAGTCCTGCTTTGTACAGTTTTTTTTTACACTTTCCCCCCCTCTGGGTTGTCTCATAAGCTTTACCTACACCACACTCGGTTAAAGAAACACAAACACAAACATGTTCAGCTGCTTTCTAACGCTGTTGAGGCGCACAAACCTGAGGCCTGAACACATGGCAGACAGCGGATGGCAGCAGAGTGTCGTGGCCGGGCCAACTCCTGCCTTTCACTCCCGCCTCCTCCGCACAAGTTATCTTTACGTGGAAAATAACTGACGGAAGTTCAAAGAAAAAAAAAAAACAAGCAAAAAAAATTGGTCTAAACCCACCGCAAATTCTGGAATACCAGCCAATTATGGATCATGCTGCTCTCTATTTGTTTATGCAAAAAAAAAAAAAGTTCAAATGAAAGTGGAACGTTTGTATTAATGATATTTCAGTGTTTTCCCAGTTTTTGTTAAGGTAGTCCTCTTCTCGCTTGTTCCTCAAAGACACTATATACGTGTGTGAATGTGTGAATGTGTGTCCTGGTTGAGTTGATCATATCTTGTGAATGCGAGTGCACTGCCCCCTGTAGGCCGCTTGAGAGAAACTCCAACTAATCATGCAGAGAAAGAAAAGTGAATCATCACCTGTCTTTCATCCACTGGGCAGCGTTCAAACTAAGTTTCGAAGAAAACATAATTTGTCATTTTTAAGTGCCATATGATTGTGTTATTGTCTGTGCTTAAGATGAGCAGCAGGTGACCAATTCAAAAGACTTGTACAAAAAGTTGCTGCCTATTTTTTCCAGCGCTGCGGGTGTTGATGACGATGTTTTTTTCGGCTTTTTGACCGTCACTAATAGATTCCTGTTCATCTGAAACACTTGATTACTTCTACAGTGTTGTTGATGATGATGATGACTGCAAGACAGACATGTTTGTCTGTCCCAGACAGACAGCAAGGGTTCTTCTTTCTTTATGATCTCATTAAGATAAAAAAATAATGCACTCGAGGCTTGCACTTCTGCTTAGCAACTCCCTCAAGACCAAGTAGATCATTGCTTTTTCATTCAGTTTGATTAATGTTTTGTTTTTGTTTTTCACCATTGATGTTTATATTGTATATGATTACTTGTACAGAAGATCTAAAGCTTTTTTTTTTACCTTCACAGGGGTTACACTTTTATGATGCATCTCTCTCTATTTCTCTTTTTTTAACAAAAGACTGAGTATTTAAAGATATTTTCAGGGATCTGTAAAAGGAATCTAAGGATTTAAAAGGTTGTTTATTTAAAGAAAAAGGTCCACTGTGTACAGGAAAGGTCTCCACCTCCTTTTTGGAAAGATTGTTTCTTGTAGAAACGTCTTCATTTTCTGCCCATTTGCTTCCTAATCCTAGAATCTGTAAATACTGTAACTGTGAATACTATATAAATATATATATATATTTTTGTTCCCTGGGATTTGCTACATAAACTCAGCTCAGAGATCTATGTAAAATACAAGACAGGAGATGAGCTGGTAGCAGGAAAATTCAGCTTGTGTCAAGCTTGTTTTTTTTTATTTTCTGTTGTAAATTCTATGAAAAGTTGTTTGCGGTGTGGAGGAAAAAAAAGGTGCAGAATCGGCATGGGAAGAGGATTGAGGCATCAGCCTGTTTCTTAGGTCTATTTATTACACGACAAATGTATGAAAAAGGAAAATGGAAATAAAGCAATTTTGCATACATCCATAAAAGGCTGTTGTTTTCTTGTGAAGCATCAAGTGAGCAGTATTTATGAGAAGACACTGTCCTCCTTTAGCTGAATGTTCTTGAATGGAGACTGATGGCAGCAGCAGAGCAAACAATGCCTCTGTGTCAGGCTGGTTTGATAGAGAAAAAGGTCATGTGATCCACTGACCTCCAAACACACAGCCAGTAGAAAAAAGGTCACCAAGACATATCTTGTTTAAAAAACAAGGTTTGGTACAATTGAAGAAACGATTTACTCGATTAAGAGAGTATGAGTTGAGGTGCGAGAGCTTGCATGGCAAAAAGTCTGATTGGTCCTATTATCACTTCACTTTTGTTCTCGTTATGTGAGAAACTCTCATCATACCATGTATTTGCTTGGTTGTGTAAATTGAAAGATGTCACATTTATGCGGACAAACCTTGACAAATTTGCAACCCACAAAATAAAAGCCTTTTTTGCATAATAGCCACTGTCTCAACAAACGGGAAGCAATAAGTAATGCCTCCCACTTGCCAAAAATGGCGAATGTTACACAAGCTAAGACATGGTGTTTATTGTTTGAGTACAGTAATTAATATGAATATCATAAATGTAAAAAGGTGGAGATTTTACGTGAAATTCTTCAAATCCATTGCTACATTGATGCTGGTGGAAAATATGCAAATGATGTAAACGTGTAGGTACAAGAAATCATTTGCATGCTGAATGCAGGAGTGCTTATAGCCTAAGTTTACTTTGTAGTCTGTGTTTTTAATGGGCCTTTTTTTGACTAGTCATGGTAGGACATAAACAGGTGTTACCAATGACATTGATGATGGCTCTGTTCCATTCAAGTGTAGCCTATCAGTAAGCTGTCAGTTAGCCACAATGTAAAGTAGCACAGATGGCACACTGGGAAACAGGGAAGGCTAAATGCATTCAGCCCTTTTTAAAAGTAATGAATTACACCAGTGATTTTTAAGTGTCAGTGAAAAAGGACTTTTGTGGGATAAGTTGAAGCAGACTTAGCGGTTGTACCACTGCTGGCTTGTCAGTGGCTAAAGCTAGTTGGCCTATTCGTTACTTTTATATTCATGCTCACAATACACTAGAAAGTAATATAATATTCACAAATACTTTTTTTTTTAAACTATTCTCAACTAAATTTTCATTGAATCACTTGATGTTGATGTTTCAGTAACATTTATTTGCCTTTCCCTTTCTTTGTAACCATGCTAGCAGCACATAGTACTAAATGTTAGAATTTGAATTATAACAACCTGCAAATGATATAACATTCCATAAGCCTCAGCCTTAATTTATGTTTGGCTATAATTAAAAAATATTAACAAGCTGTTTAAGTGTAGTAGCATTAGCTTGTGGTGAAAACATCATGCTGAGTGGGAAAGACCCTCAGTCATAAAAACATGGCTGCCATCAGAAAAACAATGACTCTGAAGACATGTAAGACATAAGACATCTATTATGTAGGTTATTTAACAGTTGTACATTTTCAATGCACACAGCTATCATAAAACATTTAGTAACTATTTAACATTTTACAGTACTTAATCTTCACAGTTTGTTTTTCTATGTCAATTGTTTTGTACATGTGTGAAAGTTCTACATTTAAATGTCAAGTTTGGGTAAACAACAGTAAAAAACATGATACATGTTCAAGTGTTTCTTAATTGGGACGCAGGTTGTGCTAAAGTCCAAACATGAAGCTTCCCAGCAAAATTATTTGAAGCAGTGACATAGCTGACATGTGGATATGACTGGCCGCCCCTGTGAGCAGTTTGGCGTCTTTGGACACGGAGATGATGCGACTGAAGGTGGGGTGGATGTGTCTAAAGTTGTTCTGAAGAGGTGTCACCTGCTCTGCATCCACCTCTGTTGAGAAGATCTGCCAGGTAAACTGAACCAGCTAAGGAGGAACAAAAAGACTTTTTAAAAAAACCCTGTGTGCAGAACCCCGTTAGTTATTTTGGAAAATGTAAATACCTACTTGGGACCATGAGATGTAGATGGGGACTTCATACAAAGTCCATATGACTGCTTGTGAACATGGAGGGGTGGTGAGGCTGCCGTAATAACGAAAATACTGACTCATGTTGTGCTTCGGCAGAAGGCTCATCAGCGGAAATGGCTTGACTTTAGCAGTTTGGCCTTGAGGAAAGATGCACAGCCATAATGAGAACAGATGCAAACGACCAAAAGAGATTTACATTTGTTATGGTTTTCTTCATACCTTTGTAAGAAACAGATGACAGCTTTTGTGATATATGTCCAAAGTGCACATTATCTGCATAAGCAACCTGTAAAAGGAGCGAAATCAGGATGACAAAAACTACAAATGCTTAGAAATAAAGAGCACACATGATTTATTGAAAACTGACATCAATAAAGAATCCAAGAACTGCAAGTCCTGTTGGGTCATCTAAGGCTGCAGTCAAATTTGGATGGATGGACTTCATGTTGACAATATGCATCTAGAGAAACACAAAAAAGACATTAAGGGAAGTCTGCTCTGCATTATTCTTTTAAAACTGTGTTTCAGTGCCGATCTGTCTACTGACCGTACTGTACCTCCATCGGGTATCTGCGTCCGTGCACTGTGTGCTCTGATCCGTTAGTAGCCGGGCCTCCCCAGTGGAAGTGCAGCTGCATGGTGTGATAAACACCTGGAAGACCTCCACCGCTCACTGACATGCCACTGCTGACTTGCAGCACCACTGGAAGTGACCAGAAACATTAGAAACATCACCAAAAAAGAAAAACAAATCCTTTTTCAGTTAGGAACATTCACCAGAGTGTCCGTCATTTTCAAGCGTCCAGTGGCCTGTTTGGATCGCATCAAAGCCCTCGAGATGTAGAGAATCCAGAGACTCATTTCTGGTCATCTGGTGCTCCAGGTTGATGGGGGAGTGAAGCTCTTCAAGTAAAGGATGACAGGACGAGAACATGTCTCCCCATGCATAAGGATCTGAGGGAGGTGAAGGAACCATGTAAGAACCAAACAGACCAGAACAGAACAGAACAGAAGACATGAATGTTATTTTAATCACCCTGGAGCATCCATGGGATATCAAGATTATTCAAGAGATTAGATAGTTCAAGATCAAAAGATAGTTTAAAAAAATCCCAACTTTTGTTGGATTGCAGACTTAATAATTAGAATTCATGTAAAAGTTGAAAATGAAAATACAGCTGTATCAGAGCTTTTGATCATAAAATGTAACCTTTTTCCAGTTGTTATGATGTTATGTTGTGTCATAGACATAAAAATGTTTGCCTGATCTGACTCTTCACCAGTCAGGCCCCTCTTCCAATGTGAAAAGAAGGGCAAAACCTATTTAAATGATATCCACTGAAGAAGACTGCATGACCTGATCAAATGCTGCAGAACAATGGACCTTTTGGTGAGATACAGTAGTCTGCACTGAGAAAAACAGTCATGATACTAAAATATTTTTTTAACTTCCTTCTTTCTTTTAAAAATCTCCAAAATTCGTTTAGATCTCCACAATACCTTCTAAAGAAACATTCTCAGAGGTCTCATGGAAAAAAGATCAGCTGACATACATTTTGGGAAATTCACAGCTTCCATATAAATCTAAGAAAGCTCTTAAAACAAAGATAGACTTCTTTGATACTAAAAAATAAAATAGAATGAACTGGCTCAGTTTAATTATTATTACCATGAATTATTATAATAACACATTGAGGCCTATTTGTAGAGCACCTTTAAAAACACAGTAATACAAAGAGTTTTTCATGAAACAACAACCAAACTAAAATCACATCAACAATCAGAGACAGTAAATACAGGTGTTGGTTAAATATATCCCACACCATAAAGGTACAGGATACTTTAAAATGTATATGCATTAAAGCCTTTAATAAAAAGGAGATTTAAAAGATCAACCTGATTTTGCCAGCTTAATGTCCTCTGACAGGATGCTAAAACTGCTGTCTGTGTGTTTCAAATGAATAGTTAGCTCGTAGATTACTCACCACAGTGCGGCTCGGTGTAACAGTAGTCCTCTGGAATACAAAAAACAGCAAAATGTTCAGAAGAAATGCCTTGTTTTAATTTAAGTAGCTTTAATCTATTAAAAACATAGATGGATATTTTAGTCATCTGAAACTCGAGCAGGACCCTCACCTGAAATAACATATGAAACAACAGTCATGAGGAGAGCGGCGGTCTGAATCATGGTCAGATGTGGAACTCGATGAACCCGCTCAGGTGTATGTTTGTGAGGTAGACTCAAGAGGAGGGAGAACGTCGTCCTGCTTAAATAGCAGCCCGAGGTGGAAGCTGAGTTTTCCTCCTGGTGTGATCAGTGATCTGTGTCATTACAAGTCCAGTGGTCTTTTTCTGATCAACAGGCTCATTGATGCAAGACAGCCCCCATCCCCCCCCCCCACACACCCCATCCCTCCTTCCCACTGCTGCCAGCAAAGATACCCACTGACCAGTATCAAGACCCATTCATCTCATGGGAAAGTCAGGATGTGTAGCAAGCAGAATAAGAAAGGTACAGAATATACATGACTTTATCGGCAGGCTATAAAAATCTAGTTACAGAAATATAGATGAATCAGATTTAAATCTAAAAGGGACAAAATCCCACTTCAAAACAACAGTTTATATGCTTTTAGTAAGTCTTTCTTCTTTGATTCATTTATTTGCCATCACAGTCTGGGTTTGTTTGCCTGAAGCCACTGAAGAAGGGCTTTGACCCAAATGTCTGCGGCAATCAAAAAAGTGGATATTTAAGATTTTGGTGTGCTGTCCTGAATCACTTTCGATCATTATAATTATTGAAATTTGAAATGCCATGCATCCACTTATTTGATTTGGTCACTATAACAACTACATCTAAATACATTGACTAATTAGCTGAGTAGTCAGAGGGTAAAAAACAATAATGTATGCTCTAAAATGATGTCTTGTAAATACATCCAAATATTTGCTATGGCACTTCTTGTGAATTCAATAACAGTATAAGTAGTTTCCTTAATTTCTAATTTGTAAGTTCTTTCCACACTGTCTCATAAAGACATCCATCTTTACTGAGCTTCTCAGCGTCAAGTGTTACATCTCCCTCATCTAGAAAACGATCATGTGGTTGTGTCACTACTCGGCCTATGTGAACAAAGCCTCTTTTCTTCAGCGACAATGCACCCCAGCAGGATATCGCTATCTGCTCTGACGGCTGCCTTATGAGTCACTGTGAAATGCAATATATGCACTTTCTTTAAATCATTTGACTCAGGAATAGTGCGGGGATTCCCTGCATCGCACCTTAATCCTTCGACATTTGGTCACTGCAGACAGAGATATTTCCTCCACAAGTCAAAGGAGTTAGAGAAAGGTAAATGTAATGGATGCTGTGTTCATAACCACTGACGCATGAGTCGTCCTTCATGGTGCAGTTTATTTGGCATTTTGATTAGATGTACATCTACCTCAGGGAGAAAAAAAAAAAAAAATAAAAAAAAAGCCCTCCCTCCCACCCCTGCAAATAAAGCATTCTTTAAGTTTAAAGGCTATGAAATAAGACAATGAAATGTATTTGTTTTGTTATACATAAAACATTTCTAATCCAGTCAAATGAGATGTAACACCGTCACAGAAACTTGTGTCACTGCAGCTGTTCCAGTCATGGGCAGGATTCTTTGATGCACACGGAGTATTTCAACCTACTATATACGACAGAGTGTCGAGTTTAAAATGTTGCTTTTAAAAAGAAAATTCTCTCAGCATGCCAAGCGACAAATAAACATGCACCTCAGGTCCAAAGTAAAAAAAAAAAAAAGAAATAAAATCAAACCAAACAAAGCTGATGGGTAAAGAAAATTAAAATCAAACCAGAACACCATCTTCTTCCTATACACACATGCAAACTTTTTTTTCCACTATTTGAGTTTTTGTTGGTTGGATAATCCTCTGTGGATTGTCAAAGCCCCCCCCCCCCCCCCAAAAAAAATGGGGGAAAAAAAAATGGGGAAAATAAGTTTCAGCACAAAAAAAAAGTTTTCTACACATACAGTACATTCAAACAGGAAGTACAGACGTACACAGTCATAGCGACACATTTTCAGCTGGTGCTCTTTATGCAGATCAAACGCTGTTTAATGCTGGTGGCTGTGGGTCGACTCTATTCCAAACATATTTCTGGCTTTTTAAAGCTCATCTTTGAGTGAATCAAATGATTGTCATCATATCAGAGGTCTAAACATTTTGCCACTTTTCTTTATTTCAACTTTTTTTTTTTTTTTTTTTTTTTTTACTGCGAACCCACTGATAAACAGAACAGTAACAGACCCATCAACAACACCAAACAGGAAAAAGACTCACAGCTACAGTCAGCGACATTATCTTCATCAGTAGCTGAGGAAACACAATCGTACATATAAGCACATCAGGGATGGAGGGGCAGCATCCAAACGTTACACCTGACAGATTAATCTCCAAAAGTTCAAAAAAAAAAAAAAAAAAAAGAAGAAAAACCCTGAATTAATAAAGAGATGAACGTGCAAAACATTGAGCTTTGAGTCACTAAACATGGTTCAGTTAGCAAATACACAACTATCCTGCGGAGAGTTAATGATAAAGCAACAACAACGGGACTGTTTGCATGATTCAACAACTTCATGATTGTTAACACTTCTGTAAATAAATTGATTTTTGTCAAATTCATTAGCGGGATATCAACCCCTAATCTTCACACATGCACTTAATCGCGCTTGCTCACTGATCAGTGGACAATAAAACTATCAAGATTACAGCCTGCAGTCATACATTATAATCATAAAGAACACAATACCAGACTCCGATATTTATAAGTACCACCACAATCCTTGACACACAATGCCTTGTGTTCTCATTACCTAGTAAAAATCCTGCAGTAGGAAACTAACTGTACCTTCTTGTAAGGTTAAACCTCTTTATTACAAAACAGCTTTTGCTTCAAATATGCGCTATAAACCTGGAAGACCGCTTCATGAAACAGACTCATAAGAAAGTGAAGGGACAGGAGGTTTTTTTATGAGTGAGTAGAAATCGTGATCTGGGACATGCCGAGAGACAGATTGGATGAAAACATTATTGAAGCCTGGCGATCATTCCGATCCGTCTGAAAGACGCAAAGGGAACAATTGCTGGCTTCGCTGTCCGTCCATCATTCTTTGCCTTGTGCTGGACTCTGACACACAGGTATAACAAATTTGAGCCGCACAGACCTGAGGGGTATTTACATCAGGGCTTCCCGACCAATCAGAACACCTCTGAGATGTTTCAAAAGCTTCCCTAAGTGAATAGTAAGGTCGCAGCCTTCTTTGCCTGGATATAGTTTTACTTTCTCTGTACAGAAACGGTCCTCTTTGCTCCTTCAGAAGCATTAAAAAAAACAAACTCTCAGAAGGCCGACTGTAGAAGATTCTCCAGAGAGAGGGCGTCCTGGCTTTGTTGCATCTTCTAAAAAAATGTGCTGCCTCTGATATGTCTGTACAAACTTTAACTACACAACAGACTGCTGCATCCTCTCCTGCTGCAGAGTGCACACACTGGCTTCCTCGACCAGCAGGTAATGTCTCGATGCAGCTCTGTATCGTCAGTCCACAGTCCTATACCACGGTGCTGAGGGAGGTGTCTGCTGGCATGGAGGCGGGTACGAGGCCATCTGTTGGGGTGTCGGGCCCCACAAGGAGGGTGCTGCTATCTATGGAGTCCTCCCTCTCCTGAGATGATGGTGCCATGTTTGACACAGGACGGGAGGCGTTGGGAATATCGGCATGCATCCCGTCTACCATAGTGTTCATCTGGCTTGGCACCAAGGCAACACCACTGTGTCCTGAAGTAAAAATCAAAGAGAGGACATGAAGACCAGAGCGTGACTCTGTAAACATTAAGGTACGACCAAAAAATTGAACAAGTTTGTACCTAGGTCCACGTAGAGTAAGCTGTCTGGGTTGATGGAGGCTTCGTATGGAGGAGGGGGGTCGTCAGGGTGCTGGATGTCGGGGTATTTGTAGGCTGCATACGGTGGGGGAGGCTCTTGGAAATGGAAAGCGCCTCCCTCTCCGTCATCAGAGAGATGCAGGGGAGTGAGGCCTGTGCCAAAGGCATCCGGGCCGTAGTCAAAGCCTGGGACTCGTCTTCCAAGGTTAAAGTGGTGCACTGTGCAAAAAAAAAAAAAAAAGAAAAAACAAAAGCAGGCACGAAGATGAAAAATCAGTGCAGAAGTGCACCAAAAATACATCCACAAAACGAGGACACTTTCATTAACAGACAAACTGAATTAGCAAGAAAAAGGAGAGGGTTTTAAAAATAAATAAAAAAGGCTATGTTTTAAAGTAAAACATTTATTTTCCTTAACATCCTAAAACTACAAAGGGTTCTCAAATGTTGCTATAAGTGCAGCTCAGTGTATCACAGGGCTTGAAATTAATTGCTGCAGTCAAATGAACTGACACTAATTATGATAAAGAAAGCCTCATTACATAAGCAAGAGATCATGGTTTGGAGAGATGTGTGTGTCCAACAGGCATAACACTCACAGTTTCCTCCAATCAGAGTTTCGATGCGTTCACGTCTCCGCTGCGGAGTCTGTGCACCATGAAGAGCAGCAGCGAGAGGATGAGGAAGGATGAGATGCAGCTGACGATCAGCCTCATCCCGCTTGCCATAGAGTCGAACAGACTGTTGCCATCTGAGGAGAGAAAGGACGAGACAAAAACAGGGATATGAGCTAATTCATGTTCATGGGTTTAAATTGATCAAGTGATCTGATTAGTGATGCATATTTAGGAGAGCAGGCTTATTGAATTTGTCTTTATGGCTCAATTTAAGAAAATCGATAAAGTATATGTTATTTTTTTGCACACAGTGAAATGATATGCCGTGGCTGAAAGAAAGTAAACCAAAATAAAACATAAATTAATGTAAATTAAATCTCCAACAAGTGGGAACGAGAGCACTGACATGAAAATCCCTCCATGTAAATATCTCTGCAGCAACTTACACAAACTATTGGCTTAATGTTTAAATGTCAAATCTTTTTTTTGCAAGGTTCTAATCATTGAGGCGTGGCAGACTGGCAGTACCTGGGTCCAGGCAGGTGAACTTGCAGCACTCTTTAGGATCCTTGCGGAAGTGCTGGCAGCCCTGCGGACGCTCACACAGAGCTGCCACACACATCTCAGGCTCCCCGTCGTGACATGTGCAGCTCAGACACGGGTCGTCACCCTTAGGCGTGAAGTAGTAGCCCTCGTTTACGACGTTATCTTTAATATCCACACACGTTTGCCCTACAAATGACATATAACATCAATATATAGTTCAGAAAATGACAGGAACATTTCAGATCGATTATCAAATTAAAATTTCAGCACTCACTCCTCTTGCAGAGAAAGGGAAACTTCTTATAACAGTTCTCAGCGTGCCAGCTGTGCAGGCCTCGTTCATTCATGCTTTTAATTTGAAAGCGCTGCAGCTGGGCACAGAAGACGTTGTCTTGAGTGGGAGACGCCTCCCCAAAATTGGTTAGACCCTCAGGTGGCAGAAACACCTGCATCGACCCTGATGAGAGAAAAAAAGACAATCTTTAAGCATTTCAATGATTGATGAAGAACATATGAGCTTCTAAAGGAGCAGATAAATACCTTTGTATGCCACCTCCCAGCGGCCCTCCAGGGAGTTGTTCTGATTGGTGATCACATACTGGTACCCCACCCAAAACCTGAAAGCAAATCACCAAAATGTTTAACTTTACCTCTGAAACTCCTACACTTAACTACCACAATTGGCCACTAGAGGGCCTGCAACACATAACAGAGCACTGTCATTACCCCCACAGCAGAGCCCGAAATAAGTATATGTTATTTTTTGCTAACAAAATATGTCAGCCACGGACAAATATAGGTTTAATAATAATAATAAATAAAATAAAAATCAGCTTTTCTCTGTAAATGAATGGTAAATAAACAACCAAAGAAAGAGCAGCACTCTTAACACTCATTTAAAAAAGTGTTTGTTTTTGTGAGAAGAATTTTGAAACAAAATAAAAAATGCACTTAAGTAAATCAGACCTTGTTAACCATCAGAAGCTTTAAACATTAAGAGAGTAAAAACTTACTTGCACTGGTCTCTGCGCTCACAGACTTTGTCATCAAAATCAACCTCGATCTTCAGTATGAACTGCAGCTCCTCGTTGGTACCAAATGTGGCCAAAGAGCCGTTGACTTTCTGACAAGTATCCACGGCCTGCCAGTAATTCTCATTCCTCAGGTACACTTTGTAGCAGCTGGCTGTCTTCTCGTAGTGGTGCCACCCACTGGGGCATTTCTCTGTAGACAGAAAAAAAATAACAGTTTCAGGATTGTGGTGTGATAAAACCTGGGTTATAATGCAGATTCAAAGACTTTATAAGCAGCCAAAATAAAACGAGATTCTTACTGTTGAAGCGCACAGGCTGAGCCACACCTATGACGTCTTCTACCTGGTCATATCCGTTACCAAAACGAAACCTCTCCTCCTTGATAGCTGCAAAACAAAAGACTCTAGGTCAACATGTGTGATTTTTTGTTTTTGTTTTACTTCCTTCAAGTCTAAATTATACGTGCACAAAAGCCTTTTTGATTAAAATAAAACCAGTAAGATACAAGTTTACATTAAAAAAAAAAAAAAAAAAAAAAGGTCCACAGACTGTATGGTCTACTAATGGCATTCCTCCTGGTACATTTCTAGGTCTCCTACAGTTTTTAACCTCATGAGCTTTGGATTAACATTTCCTACTGTTTCGAGGTTCTTTACTGATGACATGAATTTACAAACAGTTTTGTCTGCATCTCCAAAATGTCAAGGTAGATACTGATAAGAACATAACAGCAGAACCAGTTTACATTCTAGCACACACGTTAGTATCCTTTTTTAAATGTTATAAAAGCCCATTTGAATCTAAAATCCAGCATTGTGTACATAATGAAAATTCTACACTTTATTATAAGGAGTCTGAGAATGAATCCAATACATGAAGTAACAATTAAAATATTGATAATCACCCAGATACTAATGACTGCATGGTTTATATTCTGAAATGTCATCTACTGTATCTTAAAAGCCAACAATACAACCTCACTAACTTCGGAAACTTGAGTTTCTCAGTTTACAGCATCACCCATACAGAAGTCAGACAGCTCAGCATAAAAAAAGGGAACAGAAGATATGTATTCTTACTCACATGCTGATTGCTTAAACGTCAAGTGATTTTCAGAGGACACTAAGCTGATAAAATAAAGTAAACTAATTGTTCACTTGATGTTTCTATGAAATTAAAACCTGGCATATCAGAAGTTCCCTTCACTTTGGATACATAAGGGGAAAAAAACAATCACTTTCAATGTTGTGAATCTGTAACATCAAGCATATGTTTTTTAAACATTCTGTTGTTATTTCAACTTTAAATTGCATTACTTGTCTTCAGACACAACCGTTATGGTAACAAGTGTCTTTTTTTGCAGGCTGGTTAATATTTGTAGAGTCTGCTATATGTTCGTTGCTAGTTAGTTATCCATATAACAGCTTCAACCTTCTCCTCTTTAACCTGCACTGAGTTTACATGATTGAGCACTTTCCTTTTGTAGTGTTTTGCTGGTGTTAGTGAGACAGATCGCTCAACCTTTGACTGTATTCAATTAAAGAAAGAGCTAATCCCATCCTGGAACACTGATTTCCATGCATTCTGTTAATCTAGTTTACAGTGAACCCTCACTGAGGCATGATGTTGATTGTTGGGTTTTTTATTTCATTCTGTACGATGCTACAGCCACTTAGAACATAAGGAAGAGGACAAATCATGGCATGAGAGCCTTATTTGAGAAGCCTATACATAGATTTGTAGTTAATTACATTATATTGTTCAATAAAGACGCTTCCAGTGCTGTTCCCATTTCCTTCCTTTAATGCATGTTTAAAAAAATGTGTTTTGATGAACACAGTCCACTGTGAAAGTTCAATCAGGATACAGTGTTGTTAACATGCCAGCAGCATTTCCACAAAAGTAAGCATTACCACTTCTGTACCAGGGTCACATGCTGAACTCAATCCTTTCAATAATTCCTATTATGCAGTCAGAAATCTGGGGATAAGGTCTCTCTGGGTTTAAGAGCGGAAAACAAAAGGATTTCGGTCAAAGGATTAACTGCTGCTGCAACATTTCTGCTGTGTTTTGAAGAGATCAACAAGCAGTAAACAAAAACAGAGACACATGTGCAGCCACTCAGAATTTAACTCTGCCTCCCTCTGCCATCTGATGCTGTCAGTCAGCAGCTAATGGATTTACTGTGGTGGATATCGGCCGACTAACATCACGTCTAAGCCTTGTGGTTAAACAAATCATCTGGATTGAATTGAGTTTGAGGGTTTTACTGTGCAAATGTGTTAAGGCCCTTCCTTTGTTCATATGATGTCCACATGCCTCACTGAGCATCGCTGAATATTGCTCAATTGGACATTAGTTCTTTTTCTCTAATTCATGCTTAGAGCATTCAAACCAGTAATAAGAGATGTCCAATGTGTGGTTGGTTTGTGCGTGTGTAGAAGTTTTTTGTTTTTGCTAGTCTTTGCAGAAATCATCTTCTTATGATTGTTAGGTAACAGAGTGGGTGTCAAAAAGGCTCAAGTGAGCAAAACTCACGAGGACAGTCCATCTCATCACTCTTGTCCTCGCACGCTGTCCAGCCGTCACACTGCCAGGACATCGGGATACACTGCATCTTCCCACTGCGGCAGGCGAACTGCCCGGGGCTGCAGCGCTGCTCTGTAACACAACAAGAGAGTTTGCGTGGTCAAACCTGCACAAAGCGGAGCCCTTTCCCAAACAAGAAAAAACACGTTCAGAATTAGAGTCAAGCAGTGGACAAGTTGAGTCCTAGAGTTGTTCCAATTTCAATGTAAGCTATTCAGTTGACTTCGGATGGAACAATAATAAGAAACAACAATGTGGTGTCAGTATAGAGTTAGTCAGAGCTAAAATCACTTCATGCTATATGATGCTGCAGACAGAATATGTCACTAATGTTTTCTCAGCATGGCTGTTTTTCAGCAAAGCAATGAGTATTCATCATTTACAAGGTTAGTAACAGGAGCATAATAAAAAAGTATCTTCCTCTTGAGTACAAACAGGCCCATTAATCAAAACTTGTAAAACCTCGAAACCAAATAGTTTGATGTCAAAAAATCACGTCACTCAAACAATGTTCAGCAAACGCAGAATGGTGAAATGTCTCAAAAAGCTCCATCTTTGTTATTCATTATCTTCTCAGTTATGACTTACCAAAATAAAAACATAAAAAGACAGTTACATGGCACGTTATGTGTGTATGTATGTGGCCATGTTTTCCAAGGGTGTAACTTGAGACAGGCAATGTAGCATTGTCAACAATAATGTTACATCAATACAGGTATGGGACTCTGCTCTGGTGTGGAACAACATGCATCATAATAACTATAATATACACACTAGGCTTATCATGATACCAGTTTTAAACTTCCAAATGATATGATAATGATATGAAAAAATAAAATAACATCAGTACCTATTTCGATATCATGGCAAAAAAAAGTCACTAACAATGGGTTACTTCTTTGCATCACAAAGATTGCCAGCGAACTAAAAAGTTACTGTTTCTAAATTTCACAAATGTTTGTATCTCTGTCATTTACACAGTTGTAACCCCCCCTGCTCTCTGTGTTTGTGAGGGTCGCGCAATTAACCTTTGCATCTTTATGAGACGCTAAAACGACTGGAGAAATGTCAGGATTTGCCGAGCTGTGAATTTGAATGAACCACTGTTGCTCTCCCTTTCTGTATTTACATGTTTGACAATCTTAATAAATGGACAGACTTTTTTAAGTTCGTCCTGATGGTTTCAGACAAAGTTCAATCAAATGACACACAAGAACAACTATCTTAAAATATAAATGCAATATCTGTCAACCAGGCCGCTCACTGACAGATACAACATACTGAGAAAGTCAAGTGGGACGAAACAAACATTGAAGCCGTGGAGAAAAAAAAAAAAAAAAAAAAAAGCCTCAGGACTTGATAACTGAAAGCACAGATCCTCTCAGAGAATCCTACATATTCACAAGACTCCAACCACTTTTAAGAGAACAACAGAATCTATTGTAAAGTTGTCATTGAGCAACATTTCAGTTATGACAGCATGAGGAGAGAAGGAGCCTCATTTAGACCTCCAGCAGACACACACACACACACACACACATTTTCTATGGGTTTCTTTTGTCTCTTTGTATCCGTCACGTCAGCATCACCGTCTGCACTAAGTGGGTCTCCATACTGCATGTGATCAACATAAGGGACGCTTCAGCATCAGAGCTGCATGTGTCCTGATTCGATCATGTGATTAAAAGGTCTATAAGCAAACTCAAGAAGGTCCCAGCAATGTCGATGTTTACAGAAGAATAGGGGATTACTTTCGTTCTATTTTAACAACTTGTAAAAGTAAAGAAATGTAAAGAATAAAATAGCTGAATGTTTTTAAAAGGCAGGTTCACCATGTTTAAGTATTTAAAGGTCAAGGTTCAAACTGAAGGAACTGCTAATATAACGTAATAAAACCACTAGACACAGCCACTATACTAACACATACACTGCTTGCTTACCTGACAATAATCTTGCCAGAGCTACCCGTGGACCTGAAAAGAATAGAAACAATAACAGTGACCATCCTGTTTGTTCTGCTTAGTATGTCCCCCTGTAAGGAAATCTATTATGTACACTGTTAACAGTTCTCTGGTATTTGGCAGGGCTCCCTGATTCCCCCAGTTGCTTGCCCAGTAGTGGGTCCATATACACCCTACCATCTGTTTCTTGGATACAGGTGGTTGTGTTTGCCTACAATGGAGCTGGACCACCCACTCACCTGACAAAAATGGCTGCACTATTTTTACTTTAAAAACAAAACAAGGCCAGGAGCTATTTCAAGGGACTATTGTTCCATGTGTGTACACAACAAGCCAGGTGACATCAACCTGAACAAGCTAGTCTTACAGTACCACCACCTACATGGTGTAGACGAGACGGTGATTAAAAACATGCCTTTGCTTGTACTTAAGTTCAGATTTCTTCACAAGTTGATGATTCGCCTGAACTAAATTAAAAAAAAAAAAGTGGGCATGTTGCTTGGACAGGCTCTCAGGAAAGATTTTCTTTTCACGACCGGATCGTATTGAAGGTTTTCTTATTTACAACCCCTGTAAAGCCTCAACAACAGCTTTGTCTTAAGAAAACCACTCAACCGCAGTGAGAATTTCAAAACTATTTGAACCCAGAAAACACAATGATTTATTATTACTTTCAAAAACCAGGAATCTTACATAATATTAGAGGTAATCTTTTTATATTTACTGTAACAAAAAAAAGGTCACAACCAACTTTCATCAGCAAGTCTGACCTCATTTTGTACAACCTCCTGCTTACTAGTCCTGATGTAGGTTCATAAAATATGAAAGAGTAAGGGTAAGGGGGGACAAAATATTGAAACAGCAATATATCATTGTCCTGACTTGTTTGATGCAATCATGAAACCGCTGTTGCCAAAAATCAATATTTTAATACAGAAAAGCGAAGCCCTAAGCAGAGTCCCCAGCCAATTTTGACTCACCACTTCCTGACTCCTCACACTGACACTTGAGAAATGAATGACGGTAAAGGGAGATAAAGTTAATATGCCAAAGAAGAAAAAAACAATGGGATAAAAGAAGAAGATGAAGACAGGCAATAACGTCAAACAGCATCAAAAATTACGATTGTTTTGCGATACACGCATGGGCCATGTATCAATTCATATCATATTGTATTGTAAGTCACCCTGTGTTTCCCCTCCATTTAGAACCCTGTTTCGTTTACAATCAAAACCAGCTAACCACCTAAACATGATACATTTTTTTGCTGAAGGCCCGAACAATTTCCTCAGTGGACTGAAGTGTGGAGTTGTTGTCTGTAAAAGACACAGCAAGATAAAAACATGCAAATAAAGCCTCACTTGAAAGAAGTTGACCTATCTGATAAGCTGACCTCAAAACAGGTCTTCTTCGCTCTGCCAAGAGCAGACGTCACCTCGTCTTAGTTAATGCTAAGTGGATTGAGATGCATTACAGGCCTGTGGCTCTCCTGGGGCAGGATCCATTCTCATTTGTCCCACTGAGCCTGAATATGTGTCAAACTGATGGATAACATTAGAGGCCGTGTATCCAAACGCATTAGAGAGGATGTGTGATGTTAATAATTAATGCTTAATGTTTAGACAGAATATCTGGTTGTGGATAGATCAGGTTAAAAACGTGTGCATGGTTCTCAAAGATTGAGGTTTATATTGCTTTTAGACATATTAAAGTTTATGTGAAAATAACAAACTTCATCATCCTTCTTCCAAATTCCCATGAAGAATAACGCTTTGTTTATGAGCTGTGAACAACTTCATCAGAAGAAATGCAGAGCTTTTTCCTTGAAAAAAAAAAAGGTACAAACTGCTAAGGGATGCAACAAATGCAGAGCCAAATCCAGCTGGGGTCGTGTATTTAAAATATAGCTGAACTACACTTTTCAAGCTGTCTCTGCATGAGCTCTTGACCAAAAAAATCCACGCTTGATTTGCGCTTTCTGCTGCCTGTGGTTTGAATAAAGCTGCTTTGCTGTCTGAACAGTCTTCATCAGTATTCATTCTTCCTGAGAAGTACTGCAGGAGAAATCTTCAAAAGTAGAATTTATTCAGCTACCACTGGCCCCTAACTTTGGGGTTATCAGATATTACATGGTGCAAGCAAGAAAAGCCTCCATCTATAACAACTTCAATCGGGAGTACATGTCCCTAATAATGATCTGAACTGCCTGCTGAATGGGATGGAGTATATCTGAAAGGACTGTGGTCTGCAGCTGCCTGAAAGCTCTTCTGTCCCTTCTGGTTTGGGGAGGATTTCATAAGGGAGATATTTTTAGTAAAGATACTTGGTTTGGAGGTTTTGATTTTGGACGGGCTAGAAAGCCCAGCAATGACAGACAGAATGCCTGATGCTCAGTAGGTTTGACATGCAGGCTGTGAATTTGCTTCGTAAAAGGGTTGAAAAATAATTTAGCCTTTTTTTCTATACGAAGGCCATGAAAAAAGAAAAACAGGGTTATATCATCTCGTATTGAAGCTATTCTTCCCACAAGCATTAAATGTTTTCTAGAAATGAGTGAATGCCGGCTACTCTGAGAAATGAAAAGCCTCTGCATCTCTTACATAACCCGCAGGAAAATACAATAAAGACTATGAGACTGCCCTGACTCAGTGCTCCTGAAGTATCAGCACAGTCAACCGGCCCTGTGAAAACACTGCTTCATCTCCGAGGCTCCGTGTTAAAAGCAAAGAGTGGCTATGGGCATTCATTTGTTATTTGTTCAGCCAGCTTACATTTAAAACCAATACATGTCTCTTTACAGTGTGGGTGAAAGGCCTCCATGCTAAAAACAAGGCCTGTTTGGTTATGTAAAAAAAGCAATTTGGGGGTTGGAAATGAATGTGTCACTCATAACTGGTTTCCAAGAATTGGATCAGTAGTATATAGTCTGATAAAAACAATAATGTAATCAATTCTTAGCAATTTATTTAAGTATTTATGTGTTCCAGGAATCAAAAACTAAAGCAAACAACGATCCTGACCTGCTGAAAATGAAGCACTATCCATGTGCTAGTACACAACTTTCTGCTGTCATACATTTATTAAGCCTGACTGAAACCTCTCAGCTCTGTCACACTGTCAGTATTCTCCTCTCAACATTTTCATTCCCTTCACTTACACTTACACACTGCTCTACACTACCGGACAGGAGTAGGAGCATGAGCAAGAGGTTGCAAAAATGTTTCAGACGTGAAGCTCAAAAGTCTCACTCTTCCGGTGACATAAATATGTTAAAGGGCGGGGTGTAGCACTCGCTTCTGTAACAGGAAATGATAACTCTGCATTCTTTGAACTGTAAACTGCTGATCAAGACCAAAAAAAACTGTCACTGTTGGAGGGTTTCTCCTCTTCTGCTGAAACCCAATAACTTACAAACTGGGGGGGGAAGTAATTCGATAACATCACTGTGAGAAGTTCTGGCTGTATTTCATGCTCAACACATTTGGGTCACTGCAAGTTAACCGTCAACTTCAACCGTAGACTTGTCAATCATCTGATGGAGAACTTATGGACTCAGCTGCTAGTGTTTATAAACCCCACAGAAAGTTCAGCAGACTGGTAGTTCCTCTTTATTTCTGTAAATATGAAGTGTTTCAGTCTCTGGAGTCCCTGGTATGTTCACACTTAAGGAGTCCAACCAGACAGTGCTACTTTGTCTGGTGCTTCACAGTATCTGAAGTAGATCAGTCTAGCCTGAGGTTGGTGGCCTTTCGGTGACCCATATCTGCTGTGCTGTCTCATCTTAAAACAGGGCAATGTTGTCAAGAATGTGGTGCTAAAACACAAATCCCAATGAAAGTGTATGATTCACTATATTTTAATATCCAGTAATACTGTAATCAAAGTTATAAAATACTGCTTTTTATCTAAGGAAAGCTGTCAAAATACCATATGCAAATGTTGAGATGAGATGAAAAATGTTGCTTTTAATGAAATCTGAACACTGGATCTAAATTTTATTTACAATTCTAACGTCCAACTTCACCGGAGTACTTCTTGTACAAACCAAGCAAAGGGCTTAATATTTAGCTAAATCAGTGAAAACATAAACTCTCAGCTGTAAATGCAGCTGAGAGTTCAAATAGTACACATACTATTATCAACATAGTGTGTAGTAATTTTGCAGTTTGACAGACAGGCTCAGCTAAACTAGTTTCCAGTCTTGGAATGTGGAAGTAAACAACAGTCCATCTGACGGCAAACGTCGCTACGGAGTAGCATCCATTTATGGTCTGAAGAAAAGAACTGACAAGTTGTTCATTTTGATTGTCAGAATTTGGAGAATCAGAAAAGATCATTGGTGGTGTGATGACAAGACATCTTTGGCTTACTGCGGATCTCACATTTGATTGCATACTGCATTTTGGCCAGCTGAATTCAGTCTTCACCTGTTAGGAGACACCTGGCTTGCGTGATACAACATGATGTGGAACGAGTGTGGAAATCAGGTAAGCCAATTATAAAGGTCCGGAATTTATCAAGGCCAGATGCAGCATGTTGGGTGACTTGATACCAACTCCTAAAGCTTCAGAGAAAGTCTGAAATGATAGTGTGATGATGCAGGTACCTTTGTCAAGTCACACTGAAAGACTGTGTGAGATGCTGCGAGCTTACCTGTGTGCCTGAAGTGTTTCATGTTCACAGCTGCCTGGTTTTTAAAAATTGAATTATGTTCGAGTAAACTGGATTATTTTAAAAGGTGAGTGCCATGTGGGCATCAAGGTTTTGGAGGCCTGAGCTTCCATGTGCACCAGCACGATGCTCAACAGTGTGCAGGGTATAATAAAACATGTGCATGAAAGCAACAATATCCCCCTAACAAGGTGAATACACAAAGTGGAAAAGTATGTGAGGAAGTATTTGATTCAAACGCATTTGACACAGATAGCCTAACGTTTGAGTTTCTAACAAAACCTGTGCCACTCTTCAACACAAGATTAAATAATGACTCAACCACTGGGAAGATAACTGATAACAGTTGATTTCATTGTGCAATTAAGTACAAATTAACCTCAGAGAGCACCCTGATATGAACTTAATGTCAGCTTAAGAACCAACCCTCTAGACAAATACACAAGAGGAGGGATGCAGTGCTGTGTGTAATGCATTTTCTGGGCAGGATTCTTGTTGCTTCTTTGGATTAAGCCAAACAATAGCGTGTTTATCCATGACTTGAATTGATAACAGTTTCTCTATCCACACAATTGTCAGGATCCCAAGATGCATTTGTCCTCTTGCTGCTTAAAAATGTACCCAGAAAAGAGCTCTGGAAGTGTTTGCATTCACAGCACGAGTACAAGCTTCCAATTGAGACAAATTAGGTAAAATAATGTCCTCGTTTGGTTCATATAACACTGGCATTTTGTGTCAAAGACAATTACCTGAGAGGACTTCAGTGTGCCCGTAACGCTGCTATTTTAAGCACCAACAGGGTTTTCCCTTGTGAGGGGTTTTGTATGGTTATGTTATAAATTGCCTGCAGTATATGTGGCACAAGACAAAAGAGTTTCAAGTGGGAGATATAAATAGTAAATTAAATGAATCACCATTTATCGATTTTTAGGGTCAAGCGGTCCAAAGCATTTACTTATCTAATCACACAGAAAGTGCGATAAAAACGAAATGACTGTCGTCTTCTGCTGGCATGTTTCAGTGTGACTCAATGTGAGGCAGCATTAGTGATGCAGGAGCATGCATCTCTAACATGCATTTCAAATGAAAACAGTTCAGCAGACACACTGACTAAAACACAAACGTGGTTCTTTTTTTCTTTTTTTTGGAGGGGGGGGATTCAAATGTTTTCACACCTCTTTCTTCCCCCCCATTTAACATGAGCTAAGAAAGACACCTTTGTGCACCAAAATGTGTGTCAAAAATAAAATAAACAAAAAAAGATGAAATAAAGTGTGGACACTGAATTTTACATTTATCCTAAGAAAAACTTAGAACATAACAAGTAGCCACAAAACGAGATTTCTTCAGTCCTCTGTGCATTTCTTCAGACACATAGTTGAAAGGTGTGTTTCATAGTTTGAGGGGGGGAGGGGGGTCTGTAGTTTAAAATCAAGTCCTCTGAAAAAAAAATTATATATATATATTCAGTAGAATTTCTGCAGAGATCTTCTACTTTTTCTTAGAAATAGTCTGCAGCTTTTCGTCTCTTAGGCAGTTGCAGCAGATTGTCTGTCAGGATAATTATAGGAAGCATCATTTCCCCCCTTACAGCCGTGTCAATTACGGTTCAATTATCATTTAACACAATAATTATTTTTGATATTTTGCTGCATTTATTCACGTGTTTGTTGTTCAATTTGCAGCGAAAATTGGTCAAAGTAAGCCCACTTAAAAAATAATAATAATAATTACTGCGAAAGTGGCGACACTGAGAAAGCGATGCACACGGTCCAGTATTAGCACACAGTCCTCCTCTTTATCTAGCAGGCCTTTCCGCCTGACCTGCCGCTTTCTGTTTCCAGCTGTAATCTCTTGTCCCCCCCCCCCTTTCTTCAGAGACAGAGACGTGCCCTCGGGAATGTACGCAAAAAGACCCCCCCCCCAAAAAAAACCACACAATGTAGATGTATTTACCTGTCCGTGGTGGGTCCGTTACCGTGAGGACGAAGAGAAGAGAGAAGAGCACGAAACTGCTGCTGTCAGCCTTTGGCAACATTTATCCTCCATTCATAGTAACTCCTCTATTCAAGAAATGTTAAAAGATATACCGAGGATCTGTCGCCCGCCCTCTCTCCGGATTTATAACGTTAACCACTCGGCGCACTTTGTACCCATTTCTTACGCACTCGAAGCGCAATTTAAGAGCGATAAACACCGCGAGTCCAAAGACATGTTCAGCAACACAGATTTGTTGTTAAATCTGCCCGAGCAAGCTGACGTTCACACAGCTAGCTGGTCTCTCCCGTTAACGTCGCCCGTCCTCTCCTGCTGCTCGGTGTGGAGCGGCGCTGATCCAAGATGGCTGCGGCCTCCCCCATCACAACAATCCCAACAATCCCCAAACATGGAAACGCACCGGATATCAGCTGGAGGAGCCTGAGGAGGGGAGGGGGGAGGAGGAGGGGGGCGGGCGGAGTTTAGTAGATTACACTCGGCGTGACACACGATAAACCAGTGTGTTTGCCCTTTTGAGATTATTACGTGATGAATCTCGCCCAAAAATATTAGCGCTGTGCTGTACTGAGCGGATGTCAACAGACTGTTTCAGTCTTCGCAGCGTTATGCAAGTTGCCGGCAACACTGGGTGGTGTAAAGTTCCGTTAGTTGCGCATATTAAAGGACTTAGATGAAGACTGATTCCATTTATTTGAAATGCAGCGATATCTCAAGATCCCACATTGACATTAACCAGTGTTTATGGCCTTCCCTCACTGGGACCGTCTGACCTATTTGACCTTGTGAGACAGCACGTGTCTAGGAAATGTCATTGTTTACTTTTGTTACACATTAGTGGTTTGAGTACAACACACTGCCTACTAGATGTGGAATGACACACTTTCTCTTCAAGCGTTAAACATTAACTATGCTAAAATGTGAAGTTGTACACTTAGTAGTACTCATGTAGTACCTTAGATGAGTGTTGTGTTATGAAAACACTGACCTTCGACTTCTGCAGCCCTCCCTAAGAGATCAAGTTGAAGGATCTGTTTTGATTTATTCAAAACAAATACCATTTGGCAATAAAAGAGCCAGAAGGGAACCCCCCCCCCCTCCTATTAAGTTATAATTGCTCTAGTGTCAGCAAGAAGTAGAACATCACTATTGAAAAGGTAATTCGTTGAGTTCATCTTTTGCAGACACATTTTGGCTGAGAATGTCTTATTTAATCATAGATTTCAGTAAAAGGTTGTACAGATATTGGTTCCAAGCCATTCAGATCTGCCTGTTAAACATCTTGACCTACAAATTAAAGCTCCTGTTAGGAATTTTAAGTTTGTGTTGATTTTGGCTAAAATCTGCAATATGCTGTTATATTCACTTTCTGGACACCAAGTCTGAGGCAGCAGTTTCAGGAGTTAGAAATAACTTTACAGAAGTAGGTAAATCATCTTTATGCTGATCTTGTCCTTTGTTTCTGTAAGTCATAAACAGAAATCAGTATAAATGTAATTTGTGTTTTTTTTTTTTTATTATTTACAGTTTTCTCTTTAAATGTACATTTTTTAAGAACACAAAAGTGTGATGTTGGGGAAGCCTGATTTAATGCCACCAAACATGTAACAATGAGTTATGTCTACGCAGTGACAAAAACTGATATGACTTGTCAGCTATTGGATGTTGTGCTTTGAAATATTATTTCTGTGTGCTTCCTTGAAACAGCTACTGGATTTCTATTGTATGGATAAAAACTAAGCATGAGCTGTTTGGTTAGTGGCTGTACAAACATCCATCAAAACTTCCACTGCGGAAAAATACATTTAAAAAAAATAAAATAAACAAAAGATTAAATAAAGTGTGTACACTGAATTTTACATTTATCCTAAGAAAACTTAGAACATAACAAGTAGCCATAAAACGAGATTTCTTCAGTCCTCTGTACATTTCTTCAGACACAGTTGAAAGGTGTGTTTCATAGTTTGAGAAAAAAAGGGGGTCTGTAGTTTAAAATCAAGTCCTCTAAAAAATATTCAATCTGCTCTGTAGAATTTCTGCAGAGATCTTCTACTTGTTCTTAGAAATAATCCGCGGCTTTTCGTCTCTTGGGCAGTTGCAGCAGATCGTCTGTGAGTGATGTGATGTCCTGAGAGCTTGGCGTCTTGGCTTTGTTTGACGTTGGCGTGCCTGAAGGTGTGGATGGGCCACCGAAGGGAGACTTGCAGCTGTTGGCTCTATGCGAGGGCGATGGCGTGTAACTCGCTCGTAGTGCTTTGTCAGTGTATTTACTGGATGTCCGATTTACGAGTCTCTGCAGGGCAGGGGTGAGGGCGGGGCTTAGACCTTTAGGGGTAAGACTGCAACACAAAGTTTGATTTAGTCACTTGGTTTAAAATAATGCCAATCATTTATTACACAAGTTAAAAAACAGCTAGAAGCCCAAAACAATGAAAAACTGAAACTATACTTCCCTCTTTAAAGACAAGAGTTGTATTCATGTGTAGAGGCAAAAGTAATCAAGTGGCTTTACCTTGCGAGATTCTCTGTAGCCTTTCGCAATGCTTCGTGTTTCTTTGCACGGTTTTTAGCAGCAGCTTCGTTGGCCATCTTTAGACCCAGCCTCTCTCTTCTTCCCGGTTCTGGAATCTTTTACAAAGAACACGTTTAGTGCAACAAAATGATTAAAAACCAACGACAAACGAATCATTGCAGATAGCACTGAAGGGTCAGCACCTTAAATGAAGGGCCATGATTCCTTTCGACATACGGGGTGTCGGATCCATCCAGACGAAACGGGGTGCTCTCGATCTCTCCCCAGGTCATTAGAGGCGACTCAGATACACCTGAGGAGACAGAAACAGCTTTCAGAAATGTTGGCCCAAATGCAGGAAGAGCTGTTGAATCAGTCAATCAAGGTAACATTTGATCTTCCTCGGACCCAGGGCTGTTTCCATGTTGAGGAAGACTTAAAGACCCACTTACCAGGGGCAGGAGAAGGCATTGTTTCAAAACCGTATCCGTTCACTGTTGGCGATTCATGAGGGATGAGCTCTTTCCCATCGGGGCCTACTTTACCCTGTTTGAACTGGATAGACAATGAGATACATCAGCTATAGAATACATTCATTTACAGAAGATGCTCAGACTATTCCTTCACAAGACACCTTTAAGCCGAAAGCACTCCAACTAAACGTCATTCCTCATTTCTTCATGTCTAAAAAAAAACAAACTGTATTTCTAAATCATACCTGTGCATTGAGGGCTGCAGCCTGCTGAATCTGACTTTTGTTGAGAGCCTTGCTGAAGGGGTCTCCAGCAAAGCGTGTGTTCTTGTGAATTACCTCCCTCGGCTTCTTAAATAAATCGTCATCGTCCGGTACACCTGATATATAAAAACAAAAAATGTATATCAAATGAATATATCTCTCACAGCAAAATATGATCAGTTCCATGCCTTCAGTAGGGATTTATGTCGAGGAAAAATTAAGAAATTGAATCCAAGTTTGGTGTTCTTACCCTCTGGATAATACATCAAGGCATTCTTTGCTTTGTACTCCCATGTCTCAAGTCCAGCTTTGACACATTCAAGCGCCCCCTTCTCTACCGATGGTAAGGCGAGGTTCTCTTCATGGCGCTGGAAAAAAAAATGGAGTTTTTATATTTTCAGTGTAGTCCTTGGGTTCCAGTACATAAAAAGCTGGTTTCCTGTCTCACAAAACATGCATCAAATATTTGGTTAATAATTCTCCAATCAGTTAACCTGTACCTCAAGCAGCATATGCAGAAGTTATGAACTGAATCGGTGCTTTGTTTTCTGTTTATGCGTACCTGTTTATATTCAGCCTCAGCCTCATACAACCAGGAATGCCTCATCTTCTCCTTGTCACTTGCCAGTTCCATTATCTGTTCGAATGATGCATTATCTTCACTGGTGTTTTTAGCAAGGAAACGATCCAGAGAGGGCAGCTCTTTCTCTTCTTTGTCATCATCTTTGCTTTCTGAAAACACAATCAAGAAACTACCGGTTACATTTCTGTTTACCATTTGATTGAATACTTATTTGAATATTACCGAGAAAAAGATTTCATTTGTTTTGAACAGATTTTCAAGTTCATACGAGTGATATAATTAAGCTCAGAACATTCTGTTGGATCTTACCTCCATCTAAACCTTTATTGCCGATAGTGGAGGAGGGCGAACCTGCGTGGCCCACTGGCGTCTCAAAGCTAGCTGGCGTCACATCTTACATAAAGAACAAAGGGGAGAAAATGGGTGTAAAGTACATTCAGATTACATTTTTGGTTAATTCAATTCGTATCTCTTATGGTATATTGTAATTTTGCGACGGCAGTACTCACATGGTGCATTAGAGCGTGGTGTAGATTTAGTCAAAGACGATCCATATCGGATGGAAATCTCTCTCATTCTCCCCAAGTCGCCATTTTCCTCTGCATCAAGATAGTCCTTCTGTGCTTGCAGTTTAGTCACATCTGGGAAGAAATCCCTCTGGATGATCTTCTCTAAATTCTGTTGACATGGGACAAGAAGTTAGATTTGACTTTATTTTAAGGGAAGATGACAACATGTTCTTTTCAATTCAATTCAATTCAATTCAAAAAAACCTTTATTTGTCCCTGGGGGGCAATTCAAAGGCACACAAGCAGTGAATTAACAACAGTGCAAGTAAACGAAACATTTTAACCTAAATATAAAGTGTCAATTTAAATACAACTTAAAGCTTAAACTTAACTTAAAATACAAAATATAAAGAGTAGATATAAGTGGACAGTGATCAGACTAACAGATGTAACAAACTATATGCAGTAGTGACCAGATGTAAACAAACTATATGCAGTAGTGACCAGATGTAACCAGAACTATATGCAGTAGTGACCAGATGTAACCAAACTATATGCAGTAGTGACCAGATGTAAACAGAACTATGTGCAGTAGAAAGAAATAAATATATATATACAGAGCTATGTGCAAGTAGGCAAATACTAAATGATAAGTTAATAAGGTGCATGTAAATATACCAGAACTAAGGCTGGGCGATATGTACCAGAAATCAATTCTTAATCATTTTTAAACCTTTAAAACAATTTGGGTTTTTTCACCCTGAATAAAATATAGACCTCGTGTGTTGTTGTTTTTTATAGTATTGTGAACAGGAGGTGCTGTACCTGATGTCCATAATGTAACCTAAAGTCCTCTTTGGAAATGATGGACATTTAATGATCTCACGTTAACTACGTTATTATCACACAAATCAACTTCTAAGTTATGTTTACTAAGCTGATTAATAAAGCCTGTGAAGTGTTTGTTTCCATGCTAACACACCCACACAGTGCTATTGTCTGACAGTCAAAGTCCTATGAGATGTAATCATACAGCTACCTCAATGTACTCCTCTTCATCAAGG